ATATGAATTGAATTATCATTGTATCTATGATCAATCGTGAATTTCCGACGGTGGATGTGAACTTAGACCAAGGTTAATCTTTTGACTGTTTTCGTTAATTTAATTTTCGTTGTTATTGATTGCGTTATTTATAATTGTTTGCATACAAAAACCTCTCAATCATTGTACGAAACATAAAATATTGAATTACACACTATTCGTGGGATCGACCCTTACTTCCACAACTACATTAATTTTAGAGGTTAAGGCATTACTTTTAGATGCCTACAACAGCACATACCACTATCCATTAAGCCTATTTAGAATCCATATTAGATAAAAACGAACAAAAATGACGTTTTATGTAATTAGAAGTGAAATCAAAGTTGAAAATGCCCGAAAATAGAAAATAGTGACATTTTACACGCGAAAGAAATAAACGTTACATGCTAATTGCCCAGTTGAAAATTGCAATTTAGGCACATGTTAAAAGAGCCTGCAATTGCTCCTGCAGTTGTAGAATTTTATCAGCAATCAACATTTAAAGAAAGAACAGTGAATGAGCGAAGGAAATGATTTACTAAGATTAGAAACGTAAGAGTCCACAAATAGTCGTTAAAGAATTTATATCATTGATGCACTATTCTTATTTACTTTCGTATCCATGCAATGTTGCATTCTTAAAATTCTGGAGACTGGTATCCAATATGTAGAGCGACAACGTAAACACTAAACAGGAATCTGACACTTTGCCTTTCAAGAAGGGAGGTGATTTACGAGAGGTTAGTTATCTTTCTACAAGATGTTCTCAAATTAAAAATTTTCAATGGACATCATGCACTCAATGACGAAAATGCACCTTCGGATCCTTCAAGATTTGATTTTTGCATCCCAAACTGGTAATTCGGATTCAAAAAAGATTGATTCAAATATTGCCTAAATTACTTGAACAATCTCTATCGAAATGCTTGTTACACACACACGCGCACAACTCCTCAACCTCAAAATACACGTGAAAACAGAAGAACTCGATGATAATCACCATACAAGAATACTCAACAGAACCTTCCCCATTCTCATTACTTCGTTATATAAAAGACAAAAAAGAAAGTGACAGCATTGTAGAGAGTTTATGCCTTGCCGTCAATGCTCATGGGTTCTGCCTTCTTTCGATCTGTTTTCCACAGAACCATTTTTAAATAAACATAAGAAACGGTCTTCAAGAAAACAAAAAATTGAAAGGTGAATTTAATGTTCCATACTTACATTCAACTTCGCAAACATGTTACCATAAAGTTGGGCTTCTTTTCTATTGTACTCCTTCACCTTAGTCTTAAGAGCTATGTACTCGAGCTTCACATCCCTGATAAATTGTGAAAAATGGAAAGAAAAAAAATAAAAAAGGTCTCGACAGAATATCAGGACAGAACTAGATTCTTGCTGTTACCTGTTGTCAGGGTCAATTTCAAGAGCTTTCTTAAGATCAATTTCGGCAAGATCCAGATCAGCCATGTTCATGTATGCATGAGCTCTTCTATATAGCGCCTTCACGTTTGTACTCTCAAGTTCCAAAACCTTCATGCACACAACATCCTCATTAACGATGCAGAAAATCAGAAAATAAATAGAAAATGTCTATTGAGAGCTAGGCAAACCTTAGTACATAGCTTCTCCCCCTGCTTATAATCTCTCAGTTTCAACTTGCAAGCAGCATTGTTCAGATTGCAAGTAACCTTCAATACTTTTGCCTGTTTCTTTTCCTCTTCACTAAAAGAAGTCTCGTACTCAACGTACTTGACTGCCTGCATTAGAAATTCATAGCATGAGGTGAATTACATAGAAATGTAACATACAGAGCTTCATTTATATATAGGAAACCAATGCTCCTTTACCCTCTCATATGTCTTTGAGGCTTTCGCATATTTGCCCGCCTTGAATAATGCATTCCCTTTCTCCTTTTTCTTGCCAGCAGCCTCAATCTTTTCTTGGGTATTCATATCCCAATATTCCTTCTCCTGAAAATGCCAACGTAGATACGTAATCTAACCTTCAAGAAAGAGAATTGGACATTATAGTTCAACACAATCTACTGACCTTAACAAACGAGACAAGCTCAACATCATAGTACACTATTGAGTTTGGTGGGACCACAGCCAGCTCTTGTTTCGACTCAGATGAACCAAATGCATACTCTGGTGAAATTGTCAATAGTGCCACCTCCCCTTTCTTCATAGTCATCACAGCCCTGTCCAACCCCTCAACTACTTGCTCTGTTCAAAAATAGCAAAGATTACACAAAAAGAAGATAGAAATCAAAGAAAGGCAGGCAAAATCTCATACTCTCGTACCTTCATCCGTCATAAATTCAAAGAGATCATCATCGTTGTCCCCTCTCTTAATGAAGACAGTACCATCTTGAAGCTTCCCGATCAATTTCACTGGTAAGCACAAATAGAAAGATATTTTCAGACTAAACGGTTGATTGTCAGAAGAAATAAAACTCACTATGATTTATTAAGATGCTTACATTTCACCACAGCTCCTTCATTCGGGCTCTCGTATCCTTCCCCCTCTTTCAGTATCTTCTTAATGACTTTCCTGTCATTGATGACCATGGAAACTGTTGTCCATGAGACCAGCTCCAGAGTGATATTCAGTGTAGCATTTGGTGGGACAGCTCCAACATCACCAGAGGCTGGATTTCCCTTCTCACCAAATCCATCTGCAGCAGAGAAAATTATATGTAAGAAATTTGGATTATCTCTATTAGTTACTTCATTTTCAGCTTCACATTTTGTCGAGTAAAAAAAAGGTACTCACATTGCGGCTTGACTGTGAGAAGGACCTTTTCACCTTTCTTCATTGTCTTCACAGCCTTGGCAATAGCAGAACAAAAATGACCTGAAGACAAAGATTGTATCTACTTATCAACATGAACATACACCAAAAGTCTTAATCAACCAAATATATCAGAAGCTCACCTTCTTGTACTGTGAATTCAACTCCATCTGATTTCGCAACTAAAGTACCATCTTCCAGTTTACCCTCATATTTGACCGGAGTCACTAGATTATAAGATAGGGTACAGTTAGTAAAAATGTGTTGGATCAACAATCACTTACTTCAATGGCTATTTTACCATACCAAACNCAGTTTAACCTCATATTTGACTGGATTATAAGATAGGGTACAGTTAGTAAAAACATGTTGGATTAACAATCAATTACTTCAATGGCAATTTTTCCATACCAAAAACTTCATCAAGGTCCTTTGGGTTCTCCCACTTTTCTCCCTCAGAAAGAATCTTTTTGAATATTCCACCATCTTTGCAAATGTCCTTGACACTGACCCAGGATAGCAGTTCAACATCAAATTGCAGAGTGGCATTCGGAGGAATAGTCGGAGGAGAACCAGACTCGCCATATGCCAACTCAGGGGGAATGGTAAAAATGGCATTTTCACCCTTCTTCATAGTTATGATACCTTGATCCCATCCCTTGATAACTTGTCCTGCAAGATGCAGATGTTATATACTCTCATCATAATGATTATTAACTACAATATAAATTACAAAAAAAGAGAGCTAAAAATAACTCGGCTTCTACATATATATCCAAAAGAAGGTAAAAGAAAACAGGAATTGCCAACAGGTATTGTTACTCCACAGCTCCACTTGTACACAATCGAAGGAACTGTTGAACTTCCACTTTAGTGCTCTGTAACTTTATTTTCAATTCAGACCAAAATTCAAAGATCGATGCTATCTAGCACCAGTAAAAAAAAATAGTCATGTTAGATAGCATTATGCAAATCCAAAGGAAATCCCACCCAAAACGTGCACATAAAATTCACCAGCTTCTTTACAATTGAGTCATATTCAATTAATTAACAACTCTCTCTCTCTCTCTCTTTCCCCCCCTCCCTCCCTCCAAAAACCCCCAAACCCAAAACAAATAAAAACGTAATGAACCAAAACCAGTTGGAAATTTAGATATATGTAATCAACAATCAGGATTTCTTTCTCTCAGCTATAAAGTCCAACCATGATCTTCTTCCAATATATTCCCCACTTTCTACTCCGTATGATAGGAATATATGATGATACACTCTTTGGTTTTGAATATTAATATCAGCTTCTGATAAAAATAAATTATTGAAAGCGCATCCATACAATGTCTGAGTTAACTAACCTACAAGAATTTCTCCAATGATAGACACTCTCAAAATATCCAACAATATTTCTACCATGGCCCAATATCCAAACAAGACTTCTCTCCTCATTTGAGTTACTTCCTAACCCATTTTTTTACCTATTGATAAGTGTAGTTTTTATACTTATTCGTGGCGCTAAATCATGATATTTTATTGTCTTTTGAATAAAATTCTACCTAATTTATGATAAATTGTATTTCGTAGATAAACTTTATGTTTAATGAAGAATTGAAGAAAAAAATACAAAATAACGGAAAAAATGGCAAAATTCATAGTACGAGGATTTGGAAGCAAACAATTAATTGGGCCTCAATTCGAAATTCTAATTGGATACAAATTTTGGCGACTTGAAATTAAATATAT